AAAAAAAAAAAAGATTGATTTCTTCTGAGAACAGTATTTGATATAATATTTTTGCACAGTTGTAGTTTGTAACTTTTCCGGAAGAACTGCTCCAGAACAAGCATTCTGAATATTGTCAAAAGAACTCACTCAATACCTTCTTTTTTTTTTTTCCGTTGTTGTCGAACATTTCAAAAAAAAAAAAAAAAAAAAACATACGAGAGAAAACAGAAGCAAATTAATGTCAACTAAAAAATTATTGCCCAACAACAAACTGACAGATTTTCTATATTTAAAAAATTTTATCCACTGATTCGTAGTTGATCCATCAACCAGTTTAGGTTTTCAGATTTAATTGGAAAAGTAAAGAAAGCTTAGCAACCGTTTCAATGTTTGATTTGAATCTTATATACCTAACAATTACAAAAAACACTGTGATTACAGTACAAAATAATCTTACAGATAATTTTAAACATAGAACAAAAATAAATAAACAAAAAGATTTTCCCCGGTTTTTATTTTTTGTTAAATAAGATTATTAACAAAAAAAAAAACAAATACATAATTTTAAAGGGTTGATAACAAAAATTATAATGCTACCTGAAATCAAATAGAGATTTTTTTTTTTTTTTTTTTTGCCATTAAACAAGTAAAAGATTTATTGAAAGTGAACAATTGAACAAAAAAAAAATGATGGATTACATTTAAATGAACTTGTTAAATGAAAGTGATATATGCGTGCAGAAATGTTTACTAAGTTAGAATTAGCAGAAGAGAAAAAAAAATAAGCTTAAAACTAAGACAGTTACAGTTAATACCTGTAAGATTAAACCTGTAAGATTAAAAACTATGTGAAGAAAAAAGAAATCATCAAACTTCTTTCAATCTTTTTTTTTTTTTTTTTGTTTGCTCAAAAGTATCAGCAAAACATTTATTTATCATTTTTAAACAGGGTTTTGGTATATCGTAGGAAAAAAAAAAGGAGCTGAAGTTACATTGTCTACAAATACACTGTCATTCTTTAGTACGGCATCTTTGATACGTCAACTATACTTCAGTTCACTCACTCAGTCAGGCTTTTTTTTTTTTTTCCTGTTAGACTTATCAAAATTTGATGTGTTTAATTGACAGACAACTTTTACGCTCTCCACACTTTTCTTCCG